ACAAGCAAAGCTATAGAGCTAGAGAGTAGATCAGTTAATTGCCTAGGATTGGACTTGGGGTTCAGGGTGGGTTAGGGAGTGACTTCTAGTGGATAGTTTCTTTTTGGAGTGATGAAAATGTCATAAATTTCTTGTGGTGATGGTTGCATGACTGTGAATATACTAAAACCCTTTGAATTATATGCTTTAAATTGTATAGTGCATGAGTTAAATCTTAATATAATCATTACTCAAAAGAGCAATACAAATTACTAAGAAGCATGTAAAAATCTTCCAATTCATTAGTCATCAAATAAATTAACAAGTAAAATCACCATGAGATACACTATCTCTTTATCAAATAGGAAATTAAATGTGGGAGTGTGTGTGTGCGTGTGTGTGTGTGTGTGTTAAATGAAATCCAAAAGTGTATATACTGTAAACTGTAAAGAACTATAAAAAGGCAATTTACCTCTGTCATTTATATTTGATTGCTTTTGAAGCTTAGAATACTTCACAATGTTTCTTGATGTGTCCACAGCAGGGACAACTGAAATTATAGATCTCCTATTTCATATATTTGTCCAAAGTAATAAAATGTATTTGTAGTTTTACCCAAATACATAAATTAGACAAAGAAAAAGGCTGGGTTCAATGGAACACGATACACTTCCCACCATGACGCAGGCTGTCAGGAACATCTCTGTTTTGTCCCTGAGATAGCAGATGAAGCAACAGCAAACAGTCTCCCCGACAGGAGCCTGGTGTGTTCTTGAAATGTGGCACATTTCTGGGTGTCATGGTGGGTTCCTGGAGAAGACATAACTGTTTTGGGCATGAGTCTGCAGCCTCTACAAATTAGTTTCATCCTAAATATCCTCCTCTTGCAGTAGGAAATGGAGAACTCTTTTCCCAGTCAATTTCAATTGTGTGTACACATAGTAGAAAAATGAAAGTCATTTTGTAAATGACCTGCATGCTACTTAAATTAAACCCTGGGACAATACCCACACACAATGATTTCAGAGAAATTTGAGGCATCACAGGGTCTCATCTTGTTTTAGTGGATTTTTTTAAAGTCAAACTTTTAAGTTAATGAGTGATTCCACAAAAGTATGGCTTTGGTGTGGATGCTGATACAGGTAGAAATATGGGCCAGAGAAGGGAAATATATGGCACATGTTGCCTGCCTCCTTCATTTGCCTGAGTATATCTGTTGCTTACTGTTGTGGTTTGTGTCTGAATGTCCCCTGAAAGCCTCATGCAGTCATGGGGCAGGCTTCTAGAGTTTATGATTGATTCATGGTCCAATGTTGGAATTATGGATGTGAGTGCTACACCTACCCTCGGGTGGATAGTTTGCATACAATGTAAAGGGGGGAAACAGGCTGCTTGCCACCACTCCTCCCTTTGGCTGTTGCTTTTGCTGTCTTCTGCAGCCATGAACTGTTGCCCTCTGCCATGTGCCACTCTGCCTTGGAGCCAGGTGAGTATGGACTGAAACCTCCACCAATACTGAGTAAATAAACCTTTTCTTCCTTAATTTTGGGCATCAGGTATTTTGTCTCAACAATGAAAGAAAAGTAACCAAGACAGAATTTGGTACCAGCAGTGGGATCATTGCTGTGACTGTACCTGACCATACGGTTCAAGAGTCTCTGGAAATGGCTTGTGGGAAGTGGTTGGAAAGGTTCGGAGATGCCACCAGAAATAGTACAGCTAGAACACCTTGGGCTGTTCCGTATGGGAGATTTTGGTCAGAGCTCAGAGGACCAGAAGGCTGACAGAAATCCTGCCAGTAAAGACTGGGTTCTGGAAGTTTCTGCTGAGAAGAAGGGCTGCATTGGTTGTTAGAATCCAGATGATGTGTGTTATACCTTGGCAGAAAGTTTGTCTGCATTTTGCTCATGTCCAGAGACTCTGCCTGAGACTGAGACTGAGATTAAGGGTGGTGGACTGATTAATCTGGCAAAAGAAATTTTAAGGCAGTTGAATGTTGAGGCAGTGGCACAGCTATTGCTGGGGGATTTTAGCCAGATTTATGTTGAGAATCAAGAGCAAAGAGCCCAGCAGCATGATTTAAAATGTGAGTTTGGCCAGAAAGGAAGTTCCATAAAGTTATGGATTGCAAAGATAGAGCTGAAGAGATCTCTATTGCTGAGAAGGAACAGGAGACTATAAAAGATGCCTGAGGGTACCACAATAAATGGCAAATCTCCATCCTTTACAGCCTCAAACCTGCAAAGATGAAAGACTTTGCTTTGAGAAAGCCGCAGTGCCGTGTTCCAGAACAGCAGTGGAGGCTGCATTAGGTTCTGGAATTGGGGTGGCATAGAGATTTGTTCCTCACAATCAGGTTCAGAGAGCCCAGTGGTCCAGGCACTCAACGCCTATGGCCAAGAGAATGGAAAGCTTGGTTACCGCTCCAGGTGGCAGCAGACCTTGGCAACATCCATGTGGTGCTGGTTTTAGGCACATTCAGAATGCAGGAGTTCTGAGGTTAAAAAGGCTTCCACCTCAATTTCAGAAGGCCTGGAGGTCAAGCAGTGTGCCCCTGAGAGGGCAGTGTGTGAAGTTGTGAGTGTAAAGTGAAAAGTGCATTGGAGACCTCAGAAGTTTGGAAAAGCCAGAAAGGTGGATTGTCTAAAGAAAGCTGCAAGGAGGGTGCAAGTGGGCCAAACAGAGAAACCCTAGGAGCTTCAACCATCGGAAGTGCCAGAGGGGTGGAGTCATACAAGGCCTTTGGAGCTCCTAATGTACCACAGATTGCCTTGGATGTTCCACATAGAACTACAGGACTTAATGTTAGCCCTGCTGGATTTTGGACTTGCTTTGGCCCCAGTGCTTTGTATCTTCCTGTTTATACCTTTTGGAATGGTAATGTTTGTCTTTTGCCACTGAATATTGGAAGTGTTTAACTTTGTTTTCATTTGTAGATTGGCTCACAGCTGAGAGTTTGCCTTTCATCTGGGAAGAGACTTGGGACTTGGGCTTTTGAGCAATGCTGAGACTGTTAGAACTCTGGCAACTCTTAGAGTTGGACTAAAATGTCTTTTGCATGAAGGTGTGTACATGAGTCTTTGGGGGTCCAGGTGGGATATTATGGTTTGTGTCTAAATGTCCCCCCAAAGCCTCATGCAGTCATGGGGCAGGCTTCTAGAGTTTATGATTGATTCATGGTCCAATGTTGGAATTACGGATGTGAGTGCTACACCTGCCCTGGGGTGGATAGTTTGCATACAGTGTAAAGGAGGGAAAGAGGCTGTTTGCCACCACTCCTCCCTTTGGCTGTTGTTGCTTTTGCTGTCTTCTGCAGCCATGAACTGTTGCCCTCTGCCATGTGCCACTCTGCCTTGGAGCCAGCCAAGAATAGACAGAAACCTTCACCAAGAGTGAGCTAGATAAACCTTTCCTTAATTTTGGGCATCGGGTATTTTGTCTCAGCAATGAGAGAAAAGTAACCAAGACATTTACCCCTCTAGCACTCTTTCTTGCAGAATCTGAATATGGCCTATGACACTTTCTCAATACAAGTGACTCCCAGCAGTCACTGCTTATCAATCAATGGGTCCTACTTGCATTTCCTGAAATAGGCTACTCCAAGTTGAAGTGTGTGTGTATTTTTGCCTCAACTACTTAAAGGAACCTTTGAAATACATTATTTTTATGTAAAGTTTACTTTGCAGGATATAGGAATTACAAGTAGAAACAGGGTAACCATCTAACATTCTTCATCTAATTTGCTTTAAATGCTTGAAATAGTCACCACTGACTTTGGTTTTTAAAAGTAAATACAAATACCTGGTTACAGCTTTAGCATTAGAAATAATTTCTTAAAAATAATTTGGTACATGCTATTATCACCTTAACTCATGATATACTGTACAAGTGCCAACCACTTCGTGCTCTCCTAAATCATATGCCAAGGGGTAAACCCTCCAGGTTATAGTTGAGGAACCTGAGACACAAACATTCAGTCTTTTGAGTCTAGAGAGAATTTCACCTTGGTTAAAGTTTGTTCGCATGGCATTTTTCATCCATGTTCCTGCACCACTTTTCACCATCTTACAAGATTAGGTATGAGCTGAGAAGCTAGAACTAAATACATGCTTCTCACCTGAGTCCTTCTTTTGACACGATGAACAGAACTTCTTAAAAAAATAAATGGGGCCTAAAGACAAAAATATAACAATTCTTTTGTTTCAACTCTTCTTCCTAAGGATCTGTTAAAAGTGACAAGCTTATTTTCTTTGTCTCAAAATTACTGGTGCTCGAGATCAAAGCCAGGGCCTTGTACAGGCTAGGCAAGCAGTTAACCCCTGAACGACACCTACAGTCCTCCATACTTCATTTCAGCAGAGCAAAAAGCATAATTTCTCAAAATGGAGTCTAAATTTCCTTCAGTGAGTAAAATCTAAATATCCTCAACTGGACATTTCCTCCACATATTCTCAAATGGATTGAAATATGGAAAGTAACTAGAATCATATCCCAAAACTCCATAACTTTTTAATCATGAGGAAGCTAAGAGTCTTGGATAGGCATTCCAGTTTTTAAATGATGATTTTCATTAGTTATTCTGTACGTAACTCCCTCACCATAACAATTCTCAAATATTTAGTGCCCATTAATAATCATTTAGTGTTATATCATTAGCATTTTCTGTGCTCTTGGCATGTTAATAATGAACCCGAGAGATTCCCATCTGGTATATCTGATGCTAAAGCATTCTAAACAATAGGCCTGAAAAAAAAGCTCCCAAGTATCCCTTGATTACACAACTGGATAAGCTCCATGGAAAGATGCCAGCGGAATAAGCTTTTCATCTTAATGATTTCTTAAATGGGCTCTTGTTTTCATAGAAATATTTAAAAACTCTTAATGATTCATCATAATCAAGAATTTGTTATATTTATAATTTTATAGCTTTATTGAGGTACAATTGACATACACTAAATTGTTCGTATTTGCAGTGATAAGTTTGTGAGCTAATCTCAGAATAAAGATGATCAACATGGTCATTATTTGAGTTAATTTTTAATACATTAATGATGTAAAATATTGGTGACCCGTAGGTCCCTTTGGGCATCTGGCATTAGGAAGCCATGTTTATTGCCTATTTAGTGACCATATTTTCTCTCATTTATGTCACCTTCTACTAGTACTAGTAGAACAGATCCGGCTCAATCTGGGGTTTTCAGTTTTAGCATTTTTGAGGAGCCCCTCGTGGTGCTGAGGTCGGCGTCTGAACACAGAAACTGACCGAATCCCGAACTGCGTTTGGCGGCTCAGAGCCCCACATCCAGCAGTGTATGCTATAGCCCACGGCCGCCTTCCCCAAAAGGGGCAGGAAATAAAACCATTTCTTGATCTTATGTGTGAGACTTTAGCTTTTCTTTCTTTTTTTTTTTTTTTTTCTCGGTACCGGGAATCGAACTCACGACCTCGCACTTGCCAGGTAGGTGCTGTGCCGCTGAGCTAAATCCCCAGCCCCTGAGCCTAGTTTTTCAAGGCACATCACTTTATAAACGATTTAGGAATCGATAAAATACAAGGCTGGTTAGAAAAGGTGGGTCCAAGTATGGAGCGATACAAGGCAAATAAATTACTTTCGTCCTCTGTTGTGTCTTCTCTCCCATCAGACAGTACAGTGAAGAAGAGGAAGAGGAAAGGAGGAGGAAGGAAGAGGAGGAGAGGAGAAACCTGGGAATGCCCAGCTTCTCATATAAAATAGCCTCTGCACAGAGGGTTTGTAAGATTTTTGGCTGAGTGTTTCTGAAGGGTGACATAGCTACTTTTGTCCCGTGTACTGACATCCTATTTGGGGTCAGGTCTGGTCAAGTTAAGGTCTGGAAAGCTTGCTTGCATTTACTTATTTATTTTTGGAGTTTCTCCAGAGAGCTCACTCCTGTACTCCGCAGTTTTCAGCCCCGATCTGGAAACAGTTTAAGGACACAGGATTAAACCCCAGGGTTTCGGTTCCCTGGTTCCATTGTCACCACCTCTACCTCCAGCCCCTCCCCCCAGCAGACGCTGGTCACCCTCAGAACTGTGGCCCCTTGGTCTCCGGCCTACTTTTTTGGCCCTGGGTCCCAGGACAGCAATGGGGACTTAACTTCTATAGTTGGGGGGCGGCTGCTCTGTGAGTCACGCTGCGGCAGGGGGCTCCTCTACCTGCTGATCCTCTTTGTGCTCCGCCCCCAGGCAAGGGAAGGTTCGCGCGGCGGTGGCGCATCTCTCATCAAGCAGGCTGGGGAGACGTGCGCAGAGCAGCGCCGGACAGAGCAGGTCTTTCCACCTGCGCAATCACAGGCTGGGGAGCAGGGAGGAGCGCGGGCTGCCGCGCGGGGGGG